TTCTGCACTTCATTTTCCCCAAATATTAAAAAAAAAAAAAGATGGATTTGGGCTTCAAGAGCCCTAATGTTTTCTTCCAGCTCTAACAACCTCTGTGCCTATGGTGCAGTCCTCTCCTGAATGGACTTTTCATCTGTGTGCTCAGTGCTTCCTTCATCTATGAGTCCAGGGTATTTGGCAACAACCGATTTGACATACACATTTACAGAATGGATCCAGGGGGTTTGCCATGGAGATTGCTTGTGTGGGTCCGCATCTAATCACGACACAGTTACTCCAGCACTTCCGTTATTTCCTCAGGATATTCTCCTGGGGATAGCTGTAACTTTAGCAAGTGTATTAGGCCCCTCTGGATGGCAAGGAACAGACACACAGTCAGGCTATCTCAATTAATGTGAGTTTATTTGTGTCGATACACAAGAAAGTATGAAAGATAAGAAAACAGTCCAGTAAGTACAAAGTCCGGCCTCATTATTCAAAGATCAGTCATTGCTCCAGCAATCTGAGAGCAGCTGCAGTGAGTCAACAAGAACTCAGGGTGTCTTACCTAAAGCATTGCTGTTACTGCTCTGAGGTCGCATCATTAGAGGGATTTTACTCCTCTCTATTTTGGTTGCTTTCACTGCTACGCATTTCCTTTGTATATCTCATATTCAGACTCCTTGAAGGAGGACTGTGGTTGGTGGGGCCAGGTGCCATCTGCTGGCTATATCTCTCTTCCTAGGGCACCCCTTAGCCTGTTACTGAGTTTCTTTGAGTCATGGTACCATTGGCTGTGGCCAACATGGAGTGTTCGTGTGACAGAAACATGGTTCTACACATGCAGGAGCTATGGATGTAATCTGTTCAGGACTTTAGGAAAGCTATAGATCCACCAGGAAATATGGATAATAACACACAGCTTTATTGCTGGGGACAAAAGAGATTTTTGTGTCATAAGAAATGACACTTTCTTATGGAGGATTTTCAAAGTGATCTGTCAATGTCATAACTTCCCTGAAGCTATAGCATTGTCTTTCTCTTATTACATTTTTTGGGGGGAGAACATTACGTTTAATAATGTATTCTTTCTAAAGGGGCAGGTAATCTCTAATTTTAAGGAAAAATAAGTTAAATTGTAGGTTAAACTCTGAATCATATGAATGTTGTTGGATCATAGTTTCTGAGTTGTCTTTAAAGATCTTCTTTACTCATTCATATTGGACAGTCACATAAAGTTTCAATATTTTTAATCCTGGAAATTGAGGTCATACTCCCAAGATTTGTTGAATACTTATGTGGGGAAACTCGAAATTAGAAACCAGGTCAGGGCACCTGGGTGGCTCAGTCGGTTAAGTGTCTGACATCAGCTCAGGTCATGATCTCACGGTTCATGAGTTCGAGCCCCACATCGGGCTCTGTGCTGACAGCTCAGAGCCAGGAGCCTGCTTTGGATTCCGTGTCTTCCTCTCTCTCTTCTCCTTCTCTGCTCGTGCTCTGTCTTTCTCTCTCTCAAAAATAATTAAACATTAAAAAAAAAAGTTTGTCCATGTTTGTGTCTAACCAGGGATACAGAATTTCTTGACCATTCCTATGATTATTTCACCCATGGAAGACAGTAGAGCCCATAACAGAATTGACAATTTTCAGCATGTCTGAAACCAGAAGGAGTAGGTTTGACAGTCAGATTTTGTCAAAGGTGATTTTTTTCCTTACTAATTTTTCTATGAAATAAAAATAAATCAATAATCTTCACCCTTCCTATGCTTTAATTGGGCTCCATGCACATGATTGTCTCTTACTAAAATGTTAGGCCGATTTTTTTTTTAAGCATGAAAATGCAGGAGTCAGAAACTGCTGATGAAATCTAATCATAATTGACTATTGCAGATTCATCAGTTTGGCTTTATTAAGCCCTTGTTAAACTCTCAAATGACAGCTTTAAAAAAAAGTGTGCCTCTTTAGATTTTCTCTCTCTATAAAAAGGGTGCCCACCATGTAAATTCTTTCAGAGATAAGACATCTCAAATCCAAGTTACTCTAGCAAATACTCTGTGTGGATCTTGTGAAACATACTATAGTAACTGCTCCAAGGTGTTGGAGTGAGTAGGCCTTTAACCTCTGAGTGGCCACATGGGAAGGGAATTTGTGCATTTGGAAGAGTTGGTTTGGGAGGCTTTCAAGGAATCCTCTAAACCTGAATTCAGTCTGGGTCTGTTGAGCAGACACCAGGTGTATTTGATTATGGATGGAAGCCTGGAAAGAATAGAGTGCGGTGGGGAAGTACGTGAGGCTCATATCCACACATTCCTTCTCTGTCACAGGGACAGAGTGAACAGTCTGGAAACTGAGGAGAAAAATAAATGCCTCATCTCACAGAAGGAAAAGACCATATCATATTTACTTATGAAAAAAATCGAGCATTTGGTTATATGAAAGGTTTGAGAATTTTAATGATTGCCCCCAAATTCAGCCCTTTATCATACCAATTTATTTAGGGATCTTAAGGTTAATAGTATAGATATGTCCAGGTACAACTTGATCCTATTTACATAAAGAAACATTAAAAATCCCAGATATCCTTTTTAACAGAATCAGAAGTTTAGCAGTTGAACATAACAGAAGAAAATGCCTATTAAATCTCCCATTTCTTTTCAGCAAATTGCCAAAGGAAGCAGAAGTGGTCAGCAGCCTTTTTTTAGAACTCTGAAAGTACAAGCCTGCTTGCTGATGGGTCAAAAATAAGAAAATTCAGTATTTACTATTTCAAGAAGTGTCAGAAGAATACCTATCTAGTCACCATAAAAAGCAATATCTTCATAATTCAGCCACCGATAGGAATTCTCTCAAATGGAAAAGGTAGGCAATGAACTGGGGTTGACTTCAGGGCTATTAAAAAATCCATTGTCAATTTACATCAATAAGGTAAAAGTGATGAATAGCTATTTGGTTACCAGCATATTAAAAGAAAAAGGAGAAAAACCCTAAATCATAGCAAGTGGAAAAATGCTGAATATGGATTCATTTATCCATTCTACCTTAGGCCAAATGGACATTCTATGAATCTCCCCTTCACAAGGCTTATAATAAAGTGCACCAGTTCATTGAGAACAAGCACAGAAATCTGAAGAATCGGACATTCGTCCACAATGCGTGGGGCTGTTCATTAGGGACTGAATCTGAATAACCAATAACAAAGTCTTTTTCATTGCAGAAGGTAACTGTTTCATCACAAGTGAAGGAAGCTTTTTACATCCCTTAAATATTGATGATAATGGAATAAATTCTGGACAGAGAAAGTCACACAAGTGATTATACATATGAAAAAAAAAATGCAGATTCTAGGGTAGAATTCCTGAGACAGACGGACCCTGGGTCTGATCTTACCAAGAAATTCTTATAGTCTTTTTATTTTGTTTTGTTTTCCCCTGGAATTTAGTTCAATAGAAGTTTCTAAAAACAAAGAGAGAACTCAGATCGATCAAAGTCACTTGAGAATAGCCACAGGCTGGTGGGAAATGGGCTTCTGTCAGTCCGAGGTTCAGCGAGGCACTTTGAACAAACCAGCAACCGAAGTGAAAAAACACAGTTTTCTAGGGGTGAGATCAACCAACAACGTGATCACGCCCGTCTCATCGAGAGCCAGTTCAGATGTGAGACAAACAAGAGAACAGATACAGCCCAAAAGGGAAAAGGTGCCCAGAGCTACACAGATGCAAAGTTTTCACAGCTCTTTTTGTTTCTTTTACCAGGTCTGCTTTGACTTTTAGACACTAGTTTCCATTCTGTGTTCCACGAGACACTGGAAGTGTACTAGCATCTCTTTACGAGGTCCTTTAAAATGGGGGCATTTTCAGTGTGCCTCGCTTCTGTCATTTTCAGGTACTCAAAGCGTGGCATTCACAGAGCATGGATATCATCCAGAACATTCCACTTCCTCTCGGGTGGTTTGATAAGTGGTGATTCAGTTAGCAGATGCACTAGAGGCCAGTGGCAGCGCACAGGAGGCCACAGTGCTGATGTTTGACAGCGTGTGTCAAGGACTTGAGGGTGGTCAGCACTGTGTGGCTTGGGAGGAGGACAGGCTACATGAGAGCTGTTGACACTCACACACGTTTCTAACCGCAAGACCCACTGGAAGGTCTTGCTGGACTGCACGGTGAGTGTAAGTATTCTCACAGAGTGAATCGCCGTTTAAAATCAATGCTTGAGAATAAATAAGGCACTAGGTTGATGTAAGTGACACAGGAATCTAAACTATGGTCTCGAACGGTGTTTGTATTCTTTTTCCCTTTAGGGAAATAACTCCTGGAATATTTATGGAGGAAAATAATTGGGGGTTAGTGGCTACCCTCTTCCTCCTAATTTCTGGCAAAGACGTCTGTCAGATTGTCTCAAATTAAAGTGTTTTTGTTTTGCTTTGCTCTTTCTCTTGGGAAATAACTAGTGGGTGTTTGTGGGGGGCGGGGAATGGAAGTTCTTGGTCTGTTTAGCACAGACACAGAGTCGGGAAGAGAGGAAGGCCACTCCTAGGAGGGTAGATAAAAGCATCCAAATGCAAAAGAAGGTTCTGCCAAGTTAAATGTTCTCTTAGGAGACATGGGCCCGTTTATGACACTCTCTGTTCAGGGGTTGTTTTCCTGGCTGCCTGGAGGCCAGCGCTGCCTCCTGAAGTCAGCGGCCTGGCTGAGGAGGTGGGCTGCTGGTGCTGCTGGCACAAAGTCCCGGGATGTGGTTTCTGGTGCCACTGTATTGATGGGTGCAGAGGGGGATGGTAATGGTGGCCATTTTATAAAGCGCATAGTTCTCTCATATCATGTGCAGAAGTGAGGGACAGTGACAGAGCCCCGTTATGCCTTGTCCCATGGCTATGACACACATTCTGGTGACACTTGAGAACTAATGAGGAGGCAACCACATCTCTCCCCTTCGATGCCCTTTTCAAACCTAGCCCCGGTTGCTTCTCTTTGCCCAAAATGGAACTTGGTATGTTTGTCTCGGTGCTTACTCTTTGCTTGTTCTTTTTTTTTTTTCTCTTTCTGGTTAACATCATTTCTAAAGCCACCTTTACTTTACTGAGATGATTGGCAAGCTAGCCACTTACTCAAATAAGGGCTGGGTATTTGGTCAATATTTAGAGTCTTATGGCCCAGCCATTATTGGTGGAGAATTTCATTAAGAATCCAGCGCTCTCTCCCAGCTCTCTTCACTGATTGGTCAAATATCCGGTAAAGCCTATCTTGGAAGCAACAAGAAAGGAGCTAGGTGGTCACTGACCAACAATGGCCCTTCCAAAACCAATCAAACCCACTGGGTGAGATTCATAGGTTCTTCCATGACTACCTGGTGAAGTAGAAAGCAAGTCTATAATAATGGAGATTGCTTTCCCCTGCTCTAAAAACACATGTATATGCCGGTCCTAAAGAACGATCCCCAACGCAATGTCTGGCTTTGTGTGAATGTTATTTATGCCAAAGTGACCCGACAGAACATGCCATCGAAATGATGGTGACAATCCTGATCTCCAGTGGGATGTTTGAGTTGCTGTGTCCCCCCATATTTGGGACTGGAGGCTGTGGATTTGTTTTCCCGTGTAGGTTCCCTGGGAGAACCTGGTATTGATTATATCAGGATACCACAAAGATTATTTCAAGAAAAAGATTATACATCACAATGCTTAGCATTTATATAGGTTCTTTTGATTTCAAAACAAGTTATAAATATTTCCTACTGTAACAACATCCACGCGAGGTAGGTGAGTAGTACTGTCCCTACGTTACCAATAGAAACACGAGGCCAAGGAGTGCAGGATGCGGTCCCAGGCCCTGGACAGTCAGGAGCAAGCTTAAGACTGGTTTCCTGCTGGAAGGAAGTCTCCCACCTGCTCTGGGCTCCAAAGAGGCCATACCTGTCTCTAGTCTCCATGAATATAGGGTTATATATTGTATAGATATAAAACAGCAACACACAACGACATTCTAGAACAGTAATCCAATATTTTTGTTTCTTAGTAAAATATGTTAAGCACAGTATTTAAATTGCATTTCTCTGAAAAGCATTTGGTATATTAAATAGCTCTATAAAGGTTTGCTGGCATACCCTTAACAGCATGATGAATGATCCCAAAGAAATTAAAATCCACAGATGCGTAGAGATCTTTTCTTTATAATACCAGAAGCTAAACAAAAAAATGTGAAAAACGACTTTATTCTCATAATGCAGACTTAATAGCTTGCTGGATATTAGCGGGCAGCTACATAATTTTTCTGAGCTGGAGAGAAAAGATACATATTGCTGGCTGTGGTTTTCAGCTATCAGTTTTAGGAGGAAATGCAGTTGAAAGTTGAAAATTAAAGACTGACATTTCCATTCGGTATTCACTCTGAGGAATTCCTACATTTCCCAGACGTCATCAGACTCGGAAGTCGCAGTGAAGCGAAGACGGGGGCACCGCTAATAGGAACATTCTCTGGGAGGAGAAAATGATACAAAATAAAAGGTGCGGTATCAGAAGAAGATGAACAAGGAGGCAAAAGGGTGCTTTTCAAGAGCGCTGAGGCTGGCATGGATGTCAGCTGTTCATGCTCGACGACTGTACAGGTCTTGGAGACGGTTTACAGAGCAAACACTTGACTCCATCGGTCCCTTGGCTGGGGTGAAAGCCTCACTCACCTTGCTAGGAAGGATGTGAAAGCATTTACCTCATGCGAAGCTTCGTAGGAACGGAGCAGGTGGGGCAGCGGGAACAGTTCTAAAACGAGGAAGAGGCATCGAAGTCTTAAAATCTGTATGCAAACGTAAAAACTAACTTCCTAGCTGAAAGGACATTCTCTGTCAGGAGTCACAGATACAAAACATCCTACACTGAGTGTACGCGCCGCTAAGAGAGTGTTAGGTAAGATATTACATGGCGTTCGGAGAATATTTTTGTGTGAGTGTGCTTTTTTCCCCTAAAAAAAGACATATTAAATTGGTTTTCTCTCCTCAAGTCCTTTATATAGAAATAGGAAACACGAGCTGTCCTGGAAGTCTCTTCACGTTATACGCTGGCCGGGTCCTTGGCGCTGGCACCGAACATGGCACTTTTGCTTGAGGCGGGTTTGAGTCTGAACAGGCTGGAACAGTTAGGCTGCTTGGTCGGCTGCAAGGTCCTGGCGTAGGGCGAATACCAGTCTCGCTCAAATACGTCCTTGAGCTGCTTAATGATGCTCCTGTTGTTCCTCACGTCTGCCTGGTTGATAACGAGGCCCGTGCCGGCGTTCTGGGTGAAGTCGTTCCCCACCCAGTCAAAATTGCCTGCGAACAAACAAAGGAGACCACGATGTGGTGTTAAAATCACTGGGGGAGCATTCCGCGGTTAGTGGAACACAGAGCAGCTTCTATTTAAAAAAAAAATAATAATAACGACAGGGAGATTGAATGGTGTTGACAGCTCAGAAAAAAGTTCCAAGAGGCCTTACATATGGCATATTAATATTTGCATATTATTTTGGCATTTTCTTCGGCTTTGCTCAACTTGAAACTCAAAACAAGGAATCTGCTGGTGTGTGTGTGTGTGTGTGTGTGTGTGTGTGTGTTTTGGTAAATGTTTTTTCTTATTGACATTCGCAAGACACACTAAATACAGCAACATTTAAAATATATAGGAATACACTTAAAAAGCCTGTGAATAATTACCACCATCTCAAAGACACAACATCTAGTCCACATATACAAATGAGGGATCCTAATTACAGTGCCCAGAAGCTTGCATATCAAAGAAGCTGAAGCCAGAGAAGGAGAACCTCTTCCTATCTGGATGCACAAACCCCTCCTTGCCTGGGCTGTAAATCATTCCCCGGGTCCAGGATCTGGCTCCTTGGCCCAGGCATCGAGGCAGCTGTGAGTGGAGGAGGCTCCCTAGCACAGCTGTCTGTTGTTAGTTGGGGCATTCGTTTGCAAGGTCTGCTTTAACAAAGTCCCACAGATTGAGTGGCTTACACACAACAGAAATTTATCGTCTCATAGTCCTGGAAGCTAAAAGTGTTGGCAGGGCCGGCTCCTTCTGAGCGTGGGGATGGAGAATCTGTCCCAGGCCGCTCCTCTGGGCTTGTACGTGGTCAGCTTCTCCCTATGTGTCTTCACATTCTTTTCCCTCTGTGCATGTCTGTCTCTGTGTCCAAATGTCCCTTATCTATAAGGGCATCAGTCAAATCAGATCAAGGCCCATTCTGATGACCCCATTCTAACTTGATTATTACCTCTGTGGAGACCCTGTCTCCAAAAAAGTTCATATTTTGAGGTCCTGGGGGTTAGGACTTCCAAAATACGGATTTGGGGAGAACATGGCTCAGCCCATAGCAGGTAGTAAGGCTGGAATCTGTCCCAGAAGGGACTAATTGTATCTATGTCACTCACGTGTAGTCTGCCTTCAAGGTGAGAGCAGACAAAAGGCAAGCTACCCCAGAGTCCCACATGAGTCTCCCGTCTTGGCATCCGTCGGGGGGAGGGCTCTAGTGGGAGGAGAGTACCAGTACCATTTGTGTCTCTGATCTGTTGTGTCCTTCATTTAATGCACATTTACTGAGTGTCTAATGTCTACCAGGTACATGGCGCCATGTTATTTCTTCAGATTATTTCTTCGACATCATGATATAAACAAGAAAATGACAGTCCCTGACTTCAAGATGTATGTATACAACGCCACAAGGGCAAGAGAAAAAGAATTTCTAACTCTGATGAGTCAGGAAAGCGTTTTGTTGGGGATAAGGTTAAATTCTTTAAAAAAAACTTTTAATGTTTATTCTTGAGAGAGAGATACAGAGTGTGAGCAGGGGAGGGGCAGAGAGACAGGGAGACACAGAATCTGAAGCAGGCTCCAGGCTCTGAGCTGTCAGCACAGAGCCCGACACGGGGCTCGAACTCACAAACTGTGAGATCATGACCTGAGCTGAAGTTGGACACTTAACCTACTGAGCCACCCAGGCGTCCCAATAAGGTTAAATTCTTTACTACACAAATGGCAATTGAGGGATGTGTAGAAACTCATTGCTTTGTAAATTAGAAAGCCACACCCCCAAAGGTATGTGGACAAAAATATGACCAGGGTCTTGGAGTACGAGGCAGAAGAGTTAGGGATAAAGTCAGGATATAGGGGCCTTTGAGAGGGAGAAGAACTAACTGTCCTTTATTAAGTGCCCACTATGGGCAAAGCACTTGGCTTGGTATTTGTATTCATTATCTCATGTAGTTGGTAGGATTTACACCCACTCCACAGATGAAAAGCCTGAGGTTCAAAGAAGTGAACAGATTTTCCTGTCATGTGGCTAATCAGTGATGGACCCAGATCTCCACGAACTATCTGTAATACCATAAACGAAGCAGTATTTAGCTGCAACAAGACTGACGCAATGATTTCATAAAGTACCACCAGCCTGAGTCTGGTCTAAGCTCCCGGATCTGTGCTGCTCTTTGGTCCAGAGATGGTTTCATAAAGCAAACTGAAGGCTTGACTTCCAGTCCCTCAGCAGTTCTACAGCCATAGGTGAAGGGATATTTGCTGAATAAGACACTAGACATCCTTGACTCAAGGCCTGGCAGCCATCGGTGGGGGGAAGAAACATCCACAGAGAGCTGATAGTGCTCCTTCACACTGCTCATCCTGTGGGCCCCCTGGTGATCTCTGGAGCCCCCATGCATATTAACTCCCCTTTCCATATGGCACCAGTGGAAGTCATTCCCCTGTCTCTCATTTTACCCCTTGAGTTTATTCCTCAGGGCCTAATACCGGGTCCCTAAATCAAATATTATCAGCATAGAGAAATAATTCTTCCTTCTCTTTTCTATCTCTGTCCTCTGTCTCATACCATCTCGCTGCCACCCCGCCCCACCCCCCAGACACCACCCTGATACCACAGATGGCTTCCTGACAGACACAACTTCAGATGAGTTTTACTGCTATAAATTAGTGAACCGCCTACCAAATTGTTCATAATATTGAGTTGGAGTCTCTTAGCCAGTGATGTGTTTCTGACCGTGTGCTCTGGGACTCATGGCCATGCTCAGAGGCTTTACAGAAAAGCTCAGCACCAGCTAAATACAGGCCTGGACTTCTGGAAACTGGAGATTCGTAGCTGCTTCAGGTTAAGAGTGATTTTGGAGCCCACTGGCAGGGAGGGCTTTCCATTCATCCATGAGCAGAACTTGTGGATAAAACTCTAAAATTTCATCCCTACAACTGAGTGCCAGGCAATGACTTTGTTATGTCAAAACATTATATCCTTCAATATTCACTGCAATCCTATGAGGTGATAATACTAAGTACTGATGAGAAAATTAAGGCACAGAAAGGTTATGTCATGTGTCCAAGACAGGAGTGAAAAATACCAGAGCTGAGTTTTGAAGTCAGGTCTGACCACACAGCCCACCCTTAACTTCTGTTCCATGTCACCTCGGAGCCCAAAGGCCTATGTGGTACTAACTGTGCATTTTTCCCGGGGACTTCAGCATCAGGGCCAGAGCCTCAGACCACACTGAGCTCCACTCCTTTGTGGACCCTGCTGTCTGAAGAGCACAGACATAGAAACGTGAGGAGAGAGAAAGATAAGGGAGAAGTGGCAAGATTTTGGAGCCTTATTCTGTGAGATTCAGTGTTTCCCTTCAGTACAGTGGATGGAGCCAAGATCCTACATATTTGATTCTCCAAAGCATTGCTGAGGTTCTTCTCAGAAAATGCAGCCCGAAGCAGCTTTCACAAGCCTGCAGATGGACTTCTCTACCAGTGTGGCCATGTTTCCTCACTCTTCACTTCCTCGTGGTTTGGCTAAACTTCAGAATCATGGATGTATGGGCTCCAGTATCTTCTGGGATGCTGTTGCACCCAGGGCTGAGACTGCTATTTCTGCTTCCAGAATTCAGAAGAACTGTAGTGCCATCCCTGGGTATAGATGAGGGTATAGACAAGCTCACTGGGAAGGTATATGGGCTTTGAAGAGATTTCTGAGTGCCTTCAACTAACTTACCACTCCATCAGCCCTCAAACAATTCATTCTATCTTCTGGACAAATTTGGCAAGCTAGACTCCAAAATATACTCTGGAGAATTCAAAGTTAGAGAAAGGACACCATCTGGGGACTCTTCTGCAAGATCCGTGAAGATTTAATGAGCTATAATTCCATTCAAGGACTAGGGTGCATTTTTCTCAGTTCGGCATTTTCAGCAGGTGTCTGTGTGACGACTTAAGAGATTTCCAGAACATGCTGAATAATTATTGAGACTATCAATGAATTTTCTCTCTGGATGCTCTTTAAATATTTTTACACAAGAACTATGCTTCGCTCTAGGGAACTGGTGTTTTGCAAAAATGCTGTGTGTAAAATGAACTCATTTAAAAATGCATTATAATAGAAAGCCAGAAATAGACCCACGTAAATAAGTCAGCTGATCCCACGAGAGGAGCAGAGGTAATCAAGGGAGCAAAGCTAGTCTTTTCACAAATGGCGCTGGAATAACTGGACATCTGCGTGCAAAAAAGTGAGTTCTAGACACTGACCTTTCAAAAAATTAACTCAAATTGGGTCATAGACCTAAGTGTAAAATGGAAAACTCTGAAGCTCCTAGAAGATAACAAATAAGAAAATATAGATGAATTTGGGTTTGGTGATGACTTTTTAGATACGACACTGAAGGCAGGATCCAGGAAAGAAATCATTGATAAGCTGAACTTCATTATAATTTAAGATGTTTATTCTGTTTAAGGACACTGTCAAGAGAATGAAGAGATAAGCCACAGGCTGGGAGAAAATATTTCCAAAAGACCCACCTGATAAAAGATCATGTGTTAATAAGAGTTCTTCTAGGAAAGAAAATGAAAAATAAGAAAAAGAAAGAAAATGAAAGAGAAAAGAAGAAAATGAAAAAAGTAATAAGAGAATGAAATAAGAAATAAGAAAGAAAATGAGAAATCTGATTAAAAAATGGGCCAAAGACCTCATCAAAGAGGATACTCTTATGGTGAGGAAGCATATAAAGAGACGCTCCACATCCTATTATCAAGGAAATGCAAATTGAAACCAATAATTAGCTACACCACACGCATATCAGAATGGCCCAAATCTGGAACTTGGACAACACTAAACGCTGGAGAGGATGTGGAGCAACAGGAATGCTCAGTCACCGCTGGTGGGAACTCAAAATGGCAGAGCCATTTTGGAAGACAGTTAGGCAGCTCCTCACAAAACTAAGCATAGTTTACCATACAGTCCACAATCACGGTCCTTGGTGTTACCCAACAGGGTTGAACACATGTCCACACAAAGCCTGCATGTGGATGTTTATAGCAGCTTTATTCATAATTGCCAAAATCTGAAAGCAACCGAGATGTCCTAAAGGTGAGGTATGTGAGTGGATAAACAAACTGGTAGATCCAGACAATGGAATGTTATTCAGCGCTAAAAGAAAAATAAGCTATCAAGCTATTAAAAGATACAGAGGAAGTCTGGGACACCTGGGTGGTTTGGTTGGTTAAGTATCTGACTTCAGCTCAGGTCATGATCTCGCAGTTCATGGGTTCAAGCCCCACATCAGGCTCTGTGCTGACAGTGTGCAGCCTGGTTGGGATTCTCTCTCTTCCTCTCTTTGCCCCTCTCTGATTCATGCTTTCTTTCTCTTAAAATAAATAAACTTTAAAAAATTGTAGAGGAATCTTAAATGCATATTACTAAGTGAATGAAGCCAATCTGAAAGGCTACACACTATGATTCCAACTACATATTTTGGAAAAGCCCAAACTCTGAAGACAGTAAAAAGATCAGTGGTTGCCAGAAGTTATAGGCAGGGATGGATGAAGAAGTGGAACACAGAGGATTCTTAGGCCAGTGAAGCTACTCTATATATTATACATTCGTCAGGACCCACAGAATGTACAGTATCAAGAGAGAACCCCGATGTGTCAATGTAGGTTCAACGTACAATGTACGTTATAAACCAACGTACCACTTTGGTGGGGCATGTTGATAATGGGGAGGGTTGCATGTATGTGTTTGGCAGGTGGGGGTGGGGGGCAGAGGGATGTGAGAATTCTGTATTTTCTGCTCGATTTTGCAGTGAACCTAACTGCTCTAAATAATTAAAGTCTATTTTAAAGATGTATTATATGGGGGGAAGGTGCCTGGATGGCTCAGTCAGTTATGTGTTGACTTCAGCTTAGGTCATGATCTTGCAATTTGTGGGATCGAGCCCTGCATTGGGCTCCATACTGGGAGTGGAGCCTGCTTAAGATTCTCTCTCTCTCTCTCTCTCTCTCTCTCTGCCTTTCTCTCCTGCTCACATGCGTACTCTCTCTCAAACATATAAAAAATATATATTCTATGGGAAGAAGACTAGAAAGAGCCAGAAATCCATATTTACTAAGGATTTAGATAGCTGAGAGACCAGGTTTGGAGATTTTCATATATTATCTCATTTAATCCTCTGTCACTACCAAAGGGTAGATGCTATTATCCCTATTTTACAGATAAGAAAATAGAAGCACACAGATGCTCAGAGAGATCATGTGACTTTCTGTCATCTTCCAGCTCCCAGTGTCAGTGCTTAAATTCAAATAGAAGTTTTTGTGACTTCAAAACATTTAATTCATTAAAAGAACTTTAGGACATAGGTGCAACATAACTGCTCCAGGTACACACGGCACTGTAAGTAAACCCCACAGGTAAAATATCCAGATCTGAGATCCTAATCCACCCGTGCCTGAAGCCTGATCCATCCCTGTTTTTCCCAATTATTGAGCCCAAAGGTGCCAGTTTTGATGAAATCATTTTGAGTTTGTTTTTGTCACTTGCTTAAAAAGAAGCATTCTATTCTATGTAAGATGATGAACATGAGAAAATCCAAATGATTACATCTTAAGCCACCAAGAGGGACAACATGAATAAAATAATATTCTCATATTCTAGTACAATATGAGTAACAGACATTAAAACAAATTCCAATCCTCTCTTCTCCTAATGTGGACACATAACTATTCAAAATGGAAAAAAACATCTTTCCAGGAGCCAAGATGGAGTAACTAACTGTCCAGTGGCTGATGGCAGTGTCTTCCTCTGGTTCTGGAGGGGATGGGGCTCTGGGGGCTGCAGATCCTAGGCCTCGCTCTTCTTCACATCTGCATGTTTAAGTCATTTGCTGTCTTATGGTCCTCATTTCTAAACTGCAGATGATGAAGGCCACCCTCCCTACTGGTAATATTGCTTAGAAAAGTAAATGAGATGGGGCACCTGGGTGGCTCAGTCGGTTAAGTGTACGACTTCGGCTCAGGTCATGATCTCACAGTTGGTGGGTTCGAGCCCCATCTCAGGCTCTGTACTGACAGCAGAGCCTGCTTCGGACAGATCGTCTATCCCCTCTTCTCTCTGTCCTTCCCCTGCTTGCTCTCTCTCTCTCAAATATAAACATTTAAAAAAGCAAAGGAGATAAAATAAGTCACAAATCAAAAAGGGCATACTCCATTCACTCACTGAATGGGGGAAAACCCATATTCCATATTCCTTCATTCCACACACATTTTTCTTTTCTACTTGGAGGCTGTCACTTCATCTGTACAGTGTAATAGCCACACTGCTGTTTTGTGATTTATGTACCTTCTTTTATAGATAATAATTTCCACTCTGCAGTTGATGGTGCCAATTAAGGGGTTACCCTGGACTCACTCACACGGTAGGAAAGGGGGACAGATCTGACACATGAGTAAGTAATTCCACGAGGAGGTATGATTTCTGCATCTGGGGTGTTAAATTACCTTACAAATAAAAACTAAGGGGGGGTGCCTGGGGGTCTCAGTCAGTTAAGCGTCTGTCTCTCGATTTCAGCTCAGGTCATGATCTCACAGTTCCTGGGTTCGAGCCCCGCGCACATGGGAAATGTGGGTTGACAACGCAGAGCCTGCTTGGGATTCTCTCTCTCCCTCTCTCTGCCCCTCCCCCACTCACACCGCCATGCTCTCTCTCAAATAAATAAATAAATAAATAGACATTTTAGACAGATGAGGAAACTGGGATGTAGAGAGCTTAAGTGAATTCTTCATTTATAAAATGGCAGGGGTGGGACAGGGGCCCAGACAGTGCTCATTTTGGTCCGGAGCTGCCACCGCGTCTGCTCCTGTGACTCAGGATAGGTTGGCTGTGGTAGGTGGGTGGGAGGGACCCTTATGCTCGCTCAGCTGCCAGGACGCACCTTTGATGAGCCGTTCATCTCCTCACCTGTCAAATGCGCAAGGAGACCAAAGAATTTCCAAAAACACTTATAAAAACACCTTCTATGGTGTTCTTATACTTGAGCCAAGCCCTAGAGGAGATGCTCGGTTCAAGGGCTCTTTGCCCTCACCCCTCTGTTTCCTCCAGGGCCCCCACGGGCTTACGGAAGAACACAGCCCGACCCCCACTGACCCGCACGGTCCCCCAGGAGATGACACCTACCAATATAAGCTGCGCCGTCTGTCACCATGTACTTGTTTCGATTTAATTTAGGAAAGGCGTGGTCCTTGTGCTCCTTTGAAGCACAAACATTCTCTCTTTCCAGATCAAAAAATTTCTGCAAGACACAAAAATAAATCCATTCATAAAGCAGGTGAATAGGTAACGTTTTTGGTTTTGTGCAAGAGCACAAGTGGGCTTCTTATCCAAACAGCCGCAGCCGACCTCACACTGGGTTATTAAAGCCATGATCTTGTTTCTTCATACAGATGAAGCTATTTTTGTTCTCAAGCCTATATGGGTAACCAGAGAGAAAATTAGCATGCTCAACTGGGTCTATAATGAACGCTTTGAAACTGCAAAACTGAACACAAAATTCGTTCACTAGGGTGAGGGCCAGAAGTCGGTTTAATTCTCACTATCGTATTCATCAGGATGCACTGGCATCTGAAGTTGGCCTCAGGGCGCTTTGTGTCACACACGCCACGGGCTGAATGAATATTGCTCTGTGTTGCGTACATTGTAAGAAGCAGCAGGCTTGTGTCACTGATGAGCTGATTAAACTGGGGATTTACAAAGGTCAAAAGAGATTTTGCCAAAGGAACGAATATTTTCCATCTAAACACCCAGGTCTACAGGCTCCTGTCATGTTGGGTCTTTGAATGCTGCACGGAGCACAGACCCATCACCTAGAAGGGTGCCTGGCACACAGCAAGACCTCAGGGTACATTTTTTAAATGTTTATTTTGGGAGAGAGAGCGAGCGAGCAGGGGAGGGGCAGAGAGAGATGGAGAGAGAGACAATCCCCAGCAGGCTCCTCACTGTCAGCATGGAAGCTGATGCAGGGCTTGAACCCACAAACTGTGAGATCATGACCTGAGCCAAAGTAAGATGCTTAACTGACTGAGCCACCCAGGCGCCCCTCTCAGGGTACATTTGCTCAATGACTGCAGTGGAAGCTGGAAAAGGTAAGCCCTAAAGGTCTAGAAGGCATTAGTCAAATAAAGCATAGAAGACAAAAGAGTGTTATGGGCAGAGGGACCAGCATGTACAAAGGCCCGGAGGTGAGGAAGAGGAAGTCATGTAAGGACCCAAGGGGAGTCAAACATGAGCTAGGGAGTTACCATATGGAGAGTAATACCAATTCCCAATCTTGTCCCCCTCAGAGTACGCAGATATGGATAAGCATGTGGCCCAGGGGACCCAGGTCAAGTGCAGGAGCCCAGGCTGGGGGCACGCTTGGGCTGGGGGAAGCTGTGCATGTGACCTCACTGCTCTGTTGATCATAGCCTTGGAAACAGGAATGGCAACCTGAACAGTGAGGCAGACTCAGTAAAGCAGAGAGAACACAACGGTCATGTGTAAAAACAGGGCAGGGCCGGGAGGGCACCAGGAAATGCAGGTTCCAGCCTCCTTTTCTCGAGAGTGTTTGTCTTGAAAAATTACTTATCCTACTTTTGAGGAGCCTCTTCACTATCAGAGATTATTGTTATCCTGGTTCTTAATTGGCAGTTTACATGAGCTTTCACAGACAAGCGTAAGGAATCAGCCCTTTTTATTTAATAATACTTAAGTCAACACCATACTTACAACTTTCAAGCTGCAGTTGGCTATTTCAGTGCAAATAGCTTTAAGAGATGAAATAAAGTTAAATGTAAGGGGGTCCGTTTCCTTCCAGAAGCTTATAAGGAGTCGAACTTTAACGCTTCGCAAAACTAAGGCTTCTCGGATTTTCCCATCCAAGTCTGGCCAGTAAGTCCTGTAGAAATAATATCCATGGGGATAAAAATAAATAAAATAAGTTAGTTTGGGGGAAGAAATTTACTGGACTACAAAGAACATTTAAACATTAACCCGATCGGTACTTCACTCTGTAAATAACTCAATAGGATGTTTGGAAAAAGGATTTACTGGGTCCTGCCCCTGCCTAAACTGTGTTCTCTCACCACCAGGGCCTCAGGGTGTGTGGGCAGAGGCTGTGGACAGGTTGACCTCCACCACCTCTTCACACTGGCACCACCTCCAGCTAGGCCTCAGCTCACACGTGTGCGAAGAATCAGTGTTCCAACAGAGTTCCGGTTCGGAGCCTTGAGTACCTCTTTGGTTCCCAAATGCTGCCTGAACTCCTCTTATTTGGAATCTGCCTCCCAAATGAGCGTCTGCTCTGGTGATCCATCCAAACTTCCCCTTACTCTTACTTCCAGGCTGCCTCCCTCTCTCCTGACCAACCCCCAGTGACTCTGGCCCTTGGACTCCTCCATCAGGCAAACAGCTTCTCCTGGAGCCTTGGCCTCTTCTCGGAACCTTAGCCTTTCTGTCTTAACTAAATCCTGACCACAGCTTCTCCAGAAGTCTGGCCATGTAGGAATTTGCCCACTTAGCATCGGAAGGGGGTCAGCCCCCCACCAACACTCCCAACGTCACTTCCAGAATGGTCAAGGCTTATTTGAAAAGAAAAATCAACAAATGTTTCCCGCGGAAGCACAAGTCCCAAATCTCTCTATCTCCCCCGAGCCCTGACAAGCCTTCTGTTTGCTCACTTGTTCTAATCTTTCCCTAGATTCAGGCCAATACGGTTTGGGCTAATGATGTATTATTCGAAGTGTTAGCCTGTTGGTTTCATAATCACTGCAACTCAAAAGTTCTCTTCTCTATATGGGACTGGCTGTGATCCTGTAGCATCTCATACTCTGGGAAATGCCCACTGACCGTGCTCTTGACCTATGTGGACCCAGCCCCACGACCCCCGCACTATCCTACTCTATCAGTTCTGGGTCCCCTTTCCAGCCCAGCCTAACCTCAGTGCTGACCACCTGAAGGACACCTGCCCTGATCCTTCCTCTAGCTCTTGGCAGCATCCTGGCTCGGGGCCACACCTGTGGCCACACACATCTGTCTATTTCAATGGCCACAAAGCCAAGGATTGCTGAACAAAGTCAGCTCAGCCCTGTGAGGCTGGAGTCAGAGCAAACCCATCAGGGCCCTCGCTACCATCCAGCACCCCTGTTCTTGCCTTGGGGGTTCTGCCTCCCGGACCTTTCTGTAATTACTCTAAGCCATACCCCACTCAAGAGAAACTTGTTTCTTCCTCTGTCCACAAAATGGAGCTTTTCAGCCAATGGTCTCCCTCAGCTTTCTATCCTCAAGAGCCTATACATCCTTCTCCCCTTTCTTCCAGCTCAGAAGATAAGGCAACCTTGCTCAGGGTCAAACCTGGACCACTCTTGCCTCTTGGGCTGTTCCCCTGAACTTCTGCAGCTGTGTTTCATTGGTCACTGCTTCCTGAAGAGAGTCTCAACTCCTACCCTCTCTCTTCCTCTTAGTTTGAGAACAAAATGTAAATCTTAACCATCCAGAGAAATTTTCCCTGACTGCATCACTAGTGGTTGGTGCTCAGTCTCTTTTCTTTTTTGAACAAATCTATCTATCTATCTATCTATCTATCTATCTATCTATCTATCTATCATCTATCATCTATCTATCTATCATCTATCATCTACCTATATCTATCTATCTATCTATCTATCTATCTATCTATCTATCTATCTATCATCTATCTAACACCTATCATCTACCTATATCTATCTATCTATCTATTTATCTATCTATCTATCTATCTATCTATCTATCTATCATCTATCATCTACCTATATCTATCTATCTATCTATCTATCTATCTATCTATCTATCTATCTATCTATCTATCTATCTATGAGTGTAGCTGACACACAATGTTACATTAGTTTCAGGTGTACAAAACAGTGATTCAACATCTATATGTGATGCTGTGCTCACCGCAAGTGTAGCTGCTGTCTGTCCTCACACAACACCACTACACCATCACTGAGTAGATTCCCTATGCGGTGCCATTCACTGTTGTGACTTACTCATGCCACAGCTGGAGGGCTGGATCTTCCTCTCCCCTTCACCCATTTTGCCCATCCCTTGCCCCTCCCCACTGGCAACCAGCAGTTTGCTCTCTGTATTTGTGGGTCTGTTTCTACTTTTTTCCAACATAACTTCTTGACAGTGTAATCTAGAACCTCTGACTTGACTTCATCATCCCCTGCTCAGCCTCTCGCCCGCCTTGGCCTCCAGCCCACCATTCTGCAAATCTCAAAGTCAGCAGGGATAGCTCAACTACCACATCTAACAGACATCATTCGATTCTTATTTTAATTGGTCTAAGCCACATGTGGCTCTTTCTTCTTGACAATTAATTCCATTGACTTCTGTGCCCCTGTGGTTTGATGGTCTGTCCCTTACCTCTCAGCGTGCTTCTTTATCTGTTCTATGGTCAATGTCCCCATACGATTCCATTGCCATCCTCTCGTCTCCTCACTGTACACGCCACCCCTTGATGGGTTCATCTCTGTGCCTGATTTCAACTGTCCTCTACAGTCTAAAAATCTCCAAATTCACATTACCAGGCTGACCCTCTTCAGACTTCATTCTGAATATCTTTGTAAGATCCTTACTGATCTGGACCTTTACAAGAACTTCAAATTCACAGGTCTGCTTATTATACTTTTTATAGTCTCCACTTGGGATAATGTTCCTCTAATCGTCCGAGGTAAAAACCCAGCAATAATTCTTACGTCTGCTCTCTTTTTACCATTCACCATGTACTTCAAAAATATCCCTGGCAGGTACATCCTTTATTCTGTCCTTCCTGTCCCTCATTACCCTTAACCTGGGCTCCAAGGTGGTTTCTCTGCCTCCAATCTTGTCCCTGTCAAGTACATCTTCCATGACCACCAAAGGGTCTGTCTAAAAGCATATCTCCTTTAATTAAAACATAACAGAGACGCCCCAGAGTGACAAGATCTCACAGTCAGGCCCTCCTGTTCCTGATCCCTGCCTCCCTTTCAAGCGGACCTCACATCCCCTTACGTGGGCTCTGTGTTCCAGCACTGAACTTGACTGAACTTGTGACAGACCCTGCCAAGTGCCAGGCTATTTGTCTCCATCTGAAACTTTGCTCATGCTGTCACTTCTACCTGGAAAATTCCCTTTTTACCTTTTATTTTCCTGACTAACTATTTTAAAATGCAATTCAGGTAGCATTTCCTCCAAAGCCTCTTCTAACCTCGAAACTGCCACAGACGGTGTTTCACTGAGGACTTGTAATATTTTGTACATATATTTATTATTCCATTCACCACACTGTTACGATCATCTATCTTGTGTCCGTTTGCCCTGTTGGATGGAGTTCCTGGGATCTTGGGCTGTGCATACTTGAATCACTCCTGCACACAGCCCAATAAATATTTGTTGAATGAATGTGTAAATGAAAAATGTTAATAGCACACAGACTAATCAGCCTACTTTTTTAAAATGTTTATTGATTTTTGAGAGAGAGCAAGCACAAGTGTGCAAGCAGGGGAGGGGCAGAGAGAGAGAGAGAGACAGGATCTGAAGTGGGCTCTGTGTGGAGAGCAGAGAGCCCAATGCGGGGCTCAAATTCACCAATTATGAGATCATGACCTGAGCCAAAGTTGGACACTTGACCGACTGAGCCACCCAGGTGCCACAGCCTACTTTTTTTCTTATTGAATAAATTTGATGTGTAACATTTTTGTAAATTTAATAAGATTGTATAGCATCTTACTTTGATACAGTTTTACATTGTAACATGATTGCGAATGCACTGATATTTATCATATTACATAATTACAATGTAATATTGTTGCCTGTATTCATTATGCAGTGCATTAAATCTCCATGACCTATTTACTATTCATTACAAGTTTGCAGCCTTAAATACCATCACTCTTATCCGCCCCCCCTTCTGTTAACTACCATTGTACTGACTGTTTTCTACACGTTGAACTTTTCTAGATTCCATATGTAAGTGGGATCATATAGTACTTGTTTATCTCTGTCTGACTTATTTCGCTTAGCATAATATGCTCAAAGTCCATCCACATTGTGCAAAAGGAAGGATATTCTCCTTTCTCACAGCTAATATTCTATTGTGTATATGCACCACATCTTTTCATCCATTCATCTGTTGATGGTCATTTGTGTTGTTTCCATTATGAATTCTGTTTTCATTTCTTTTGCTTAAGTATCCAGTGTAACTGCTGGATCGTATGGTAGATTTATTTTAATTTGGGGGGGGAACCTCCATATTGTTTTCCATAGTGATTGGATCAATTTATCTTTCTATCAACTGTGTATAAGGGTTTCCTTTTCACTATATCCTCAGCAACACTTGTTGTCTCTTGTTTTCTTGATGATAGCCATTGTAACCGGTATAAGGTGATATCTCATCATTATTTTGATTTGCCTTTACCTGATGATGAGTGATATTGAACATCATTCATTTGTCTGTTGGCCATTTTGATGTCCTCTTTGCAGAAATGTCTATTTAGTTCTTTTGCCCATTTTTAATCAGACTATCTGCCTTTTTAAAAAAAAATCGAGGTGACTGAGTTCTTTACATATTTGGATATTAACCCTTTATCTGATATATGGTTTGCAAAACTTTTTCTCTATTCTGTAGGCTATGTTTTCACTTTGTGAATTGGTTCTTTTGATATGCAAAAGCTTTTGAGTCTGATGTAGTCTCATTTGTTACTTTTTTGTTATTGTTGTTTGTGCTTTTGGTATCATGACAAAAAATTGTTACCAAGACCATTATTGATAAGCTTCTTCCTTACATTTTCTTCTAGGAGTTTTATGATATCAGGTCTTGTCTGTAAGTCTTTGATCCATTTGAGTTAATTTTTGTGAGTGGTTTGAGATAGGGGCCCA